AATATCCTTAGATGAGGACTAACCAAACAGATACGGGGAATTCCTTCAGGTAAAGGTCATGACCGCGGCTTCGGACACCATCCCGGGTCACAGGCCTTGCTTTGCCGGCTCCCGCCTGTGGGAGGGCTGGGTCTCACTGGGCGAGGAGCAGACGGGGAGGCAGGTGGGGCAGTGTCTGAGCCAGACGCCTTCTGGAAGGAGTGGGGGAGGCAGAGCCCAGTCCCCAGGAAGTGTCGGAAGGAGGACAACATTCCGGGATTTTCTCGATGAAATGAGAAGTCTGAAATGAGAAGTCGGAACAGATGGCCATTGTCCGGCTCCACGGGGAAACCAGGGTGACCTCGGGGCGGGTGGAAAGGGCACACCTGTTCCCGCGGCAGCTGAGAGCAGAGCCTGCCTGGAGGCCTCGTGAGCACAGCTGGGCCTGCCGAGCTGAGGGCAACTGGGGGGAGGGGCTCTGGGCTAGGGACAGCCCCCTGCTGTGCAGGCTAGAGGGACCCCAGGTATGGCCTCCTCAGGCCTGTTTACCGTGCAGCCGACACACTTTCCAACAGTTCTGTTTCTGTTTGTTGGGTTGGGGTTTCAACTCTCTCTTCCAACAAACATCCCCCAGAGACAGACGAGGTAGGCCTGGCTTTTACCTGGCTGCTGCCCCCTCAACCCGGTCTTCACAGGACCTGGAACCCACACACCCGGGAGTGACACGGTTCAGGCTAAGGCTGTGCCCCGAGCGTCGCACACCTCCCTCGGTGTTGTCAGGGCCGTGACTGTCACAGCCAGGAGTGGGGTGCTCCATCCGCAGTGTGGGGCATGCAAGAGGCAGCCAGCCCATCCGTGATTCTCCCAGCATTGGTTTCTCCCTCTCCCTTCCATGAAAAGAAGGGGAGACTTGGGCTGTAGTCTCCCAGCACCTTTCCAGGGCATGTGGGAAAGGTCCGTGCAGGCTCAGCGCTGACCATAACCTCAGACCCCTCGGCCTTTCTCTCCCCATCAGACTCCTCGGCCTTTCTCTCCCCGTCCTGTTCGCCTGCCCCCGACTTCTCTATGTGGTTCTTGGGAGTGGATGTCCAGCCCACCCTGTCTGCTAGCAGCTCCCAAGCCTACATCTCGGCTGCTAGCCCTGCACTTGTCTAGGTCCACAGCTGCTTGGATGTCTCCCCCAGGCATCCAGCCAGCTCCTCAGATTTAACATGCCGGCACTGAGAGGCCCTATTCATGCCGGATTTGCCACAAGGCGGCCACAACAGGTGCTTAAGGCCACCGAGAAGGAATGTACTTCCGGGGAAAATTTTTAATATTCCAAAAATGCATCAAAGCAGCTCCTTCTGTAGCGTATAGTTTATTGTGACTTTTGCGGGCGGGGGCACATCACACTCGCAGCATCGGGCCCTCTACGGTTTCAATTCAGAGCTCCCTGCCACCATCTCCAATAAGAACTCATACTGGCCCGACCAGCATGGCTCAGTGGTTGAGTGCTGGCCTATGAAGCAGGAGGTCACAGTTCGATTCTCGGTCAGGGCACAGGCCTGAGTTGTGGGCTCGATCCCCAGGGGCAGGTGTGCAGGAGGCAAGCAATCAATGATGCTCTCTCATCGTGGATGTTTCTCTCTCTCTCTTTTCCTCGTTCTTCCTCTCTGAAATCAATAAAAAAATATTTTTAAAAAACACATTTAAAAAAACTCATCTTTCTTGAACAGCCTTGGGGGCTGGTCACTCACAGCATCCTGTGTCTTATCCCCATGTTGGGTTTTTAAATCTTGACTCTTCTCCTTGACCCCTGAACCCCACATTCTCCTACCCTCTCTCCGCCAGCCACTTCCAGTCCTGCCTCCTCCCTGAGTGCACCCTCGCTGTCCTGGGTCATGGGTCACCTCCTAGGAACACAAGGGAGGCACTGCACTCCATGTACACAGCTCCAGGGGCTCCCCCTTGGCTCCAGTCCCAGCTCCCTCCCACCTACAAATCAGCCCCCCCCCCCCCCCACCCAGCCCATCTAGCCACCTTCCACTCTGCTGTTCAGCACCCCCTCCCCTCACAGATCCCGGGCTCCAGCCAAACTAGACTTCCAGCCATCTGGGAACAAATGTTCCCTCTGCCCCAAATAAGCTACATCCATCTCCACCTGTTGAGATCTGTCCTTGGGGAGGGTTACCCGGTAAATAGTACTGGGACAATTGGTCGTTTGAAAGAAATGTTTTAGATTCTTCAGTTCATACCACACACACCAAAATACATCCCAGCTAAACTACAGTTAAATATAAAATATAAATACATGATATAATCACATATATTTTAAAAACCAAACTGTAAAAATTCTGAAAAAAACACACCACATTATTAGATTACTGAGTATTACGGGAGGGTATTAGATCCTAAGTGTATTATATAAGGAAAGAACGAAACTTCAACGGAAACAAAGCAATTGTTGACCTTAAACAAACCGCCAGCTATTTCGCCAGCAAATGGGTTTATTTGCTGGGAGCAAATGTGGGCATGCAGTCCGATGGCAGGTGAACCAAGGTTAAACTCGGAGAGCAGAGGAAAGGACCATTTTCTGAGAGGCGCGGTGGGTGGTGGGTGTGCGGAGGGGCTGCTTAAAGAATGCACTGGTGGGCCCTAACCGGTTTGGCTTAGTGGAGAGAACATTGGCCTGTAGACTCAAGGGTCTCGGGTTCGATTCCGGTCAAGGGCATGTACCTTGGTTGCGGGCACATCCCCAATGAGGGGTGTGCAGGAGGCAGCTGATTGATGTTTCTCTCTCATCAATGTTTCTAACTCTATCCGTCTTCCTTCCTCTCTGTAAAAAAAAAATCAATAAAATATATTATTTTTTTAATATATTTTATTGATTTTATACAGAGAGGGAGAAAGATAGAGAGCTAGAAACATCGATGAGAGAGAGTCATCGATCAGCTGCCTCTTGCACACCCCCCACTGGGGATATGCCCGCAACTAAGGTACATGCCCTTGACCGGAATCGAACCCGGGACCTTTCAGTCCCCAAGCCGACGCTCTATCCATTGAGCCAAACCGGTCCCGGCAAAATCAATAAAATATATTTTAAAAAAACGCACAAAAAAACAGAAGAATGCACTGGTGGAAACGGGAGTTCATAGTGTGGTGGCCTTCCATCTGCTGAGCAGTAACCATGGCTGGTGAGGAGCCCCCCTCCTTCCTGTTGGAGATGGAGATGGTATCTTCTGGTTCGGGGTAACTGATGGATGGTAGTGTAAGATCTCCCCACCAGCTCTCCCCATTCCAACTTAAAGGAGGCCTCTGTTCACTCATCTTCACACAGTGAATCTAACTCTACCTTAGAACTTGACTGTGAAAACCAAACTGGTAAGGTATGAACAGGGGCTCTAACCGGTGTGGCTCAGTGGATGGAGCGCTGGTCTGCAGATTCAAGGGTCCCAGGTCCAATTCCGGTCAGGGGCATGTGCTAGTGGGGAGTGTTCGGGAGGCAGCTGATAGATGTTTCTAACTCTATCCCTTTCTGTAAAAAAGTCAATAAAATATATTTTAAAAGTAAAGTAAAGGAACAGGGGGACAGAGCGTCCTTCCCATGTTGGGGTCCCCATGCAGTTAAGGGTTTGGTTGGCAAGAAATCAGAGGAGGATCTGTGTGGGCATCTTCCAGGAAGGTGGGCGATGCCTGAGGTCACATTCCTTCCCAAGGGGCTCAAAATGCAAATCCTTGCGGAGATTAGCATGTCCAGGGCCCCAGACTTTTGTCTCCCCTGGATCCTGGGTGTGTGGCTGGGAGCTTCTATTCTAACTTTGTCTGAATGTGCATGTTTTTCCACCCGAGACGGGTCTTGTGAGATGTCATGACACGGTTTGAGGAGGCACCTCTCACACCTTCCCGCTCGTGAACTGGGTCTTCTTTATGAAACAGCAGCCGCGGCGACTAATACTTAGCGCTTCCTTTGTGGCAGTTTGCGTGTTTTATATGCTTTGTTTCGTTTATCGACTACAAAACACAATCGACTAGGTATTCCATCACCAAGAAGGATTTACTTGAGAAAAAGAAAGGAATGCAATCCAGTGCGCGGCCCCGGGTGAGCCACCAGGAGGAGAAGAGAAGGAAGCGGGGGCGCCTCCCACCCAGTGGAGGGGGAGCAGCCCTGGGAGGGGTTCCGGGGCAGGTCACCTTCTCTGCCACAAACTGCACCCCAGTAGCTCTTACACCCACCCCGGAGACTGGCACGATTCTCCCCATCTAACCGGAGGGAAGCAGGCTCAGTGCTCTGCCCGCGCTCTCAGGGCTGGCGTGGGGTGCAGAGCCGGGCCGCGCGCCCCACGCAGCGTGGGTCCTTCTGCGCCAACATGGGGTCCCTCCCGGCGCAGGCCCGGGCCCTGTTTCCCTGCGTCCTGGTGACGCTACGTTCCCACGGACGTCCCGGGTGCGAGGGCTCCGGGGACCAGAGCGGCGTCCCCGTCACCAGTCCCCGCGGGCGGTTCCCGGCGGGCGGGCCCGATTGACGGCGGGCGCAGCGCAGACGAGCCCCCGGCCGCCCATTTGTCCAAACACGCACGCTCACTAGAGCGCACACGCCGGGAGTCCGGGCCCGAATGTGCCAGCGGTGCCACCCGGGACGGTCCCCTCACCTTCACGGTCCCGGCCCTCGCCTCTCGTTACGTCACTTCTCCGCGCCCCGCCGCCGCCGCCGCCGTCGCCGCCGCCGCCGCCGCCGCAGCGCGCGCGCGGCGCTTCCGGCCGCGAGGACACGGTGGGCGTGGCGGGCGGCGTCAGGCGAGCGCGCGCCGGAAGCCAGCGCGGACGAGGCGGAAGTGGCGGGGCGGGGCGCGGGGGCGGTGGGGGGCGGCGGCCGGCGATGAGCGGCCGGAGAGAGTGAGCGGGCCGGCGGCGAGGCCGGGGGGCCGCGGAGAGCGAGCCGCAGGGCGGAGCGCAGGGGCGCGAGCGCGGCGGGCCGCGGGCGGCGGCCAGGGCGCGGCGGCGGCGGCGGCGGCGGCGGCCGGGGCGCGGCGGCCGAGAAGATGGCGGACGGCGACAGCGGCAGCGAGCGCGGCGGCGGCGGCGGGCCCGGCGGCTTCCAGCCCGCGTCCCGCGGCGGCGGCGAGCAGGAGACGCAGGAGCTGGCGTCCAAGCGGCTGGACATCCAGAACAAGCGCTTCTACCTGGACGTGAAGCAGAACGCCAAGGGCCGCTTCCTCAAGATCGCCGAGGTGGGCGCGGGCGGCTCCAAGAGCCGCCTCACGCTGTCCATGGCCGTGGCCGCCGAGTTCCGCGACTACCTGGGCGACTTCATCGAGCACTACGCGCAGCTGGGCCCCAGCAGCCCCGAGCAGGTGGCGGCGGCGGCGGCGGCCGAGGAGGGCGGCGGGCCGCGGCGCGCGCTCAAGAGCGAGTTCCTGGTGCGCGAGAACCGCAAGTACTACCTGGACCTCAAGGAGAACCAGCGCGGCCGCTTCCTGCGCATCCGCCAGACCGTGACGCGCGGCGGCGGCCCGGCGCCCGGCGGCCTGCAGAGCGGCCAGACGATCGCGCTGCCCGCGCAGGGCCTCATCGAGTTCCGCGACGCGCTGGCCAAGCTCATCGACGACTACGGCGGCGACGACGACGAGCTGGCGGGCGGCGCGGGCGGCGGCGCGGGCGGCCCCGGCGGCGGCCAGTACGGGGAGCTCCCGGAGGGCACCTCCATCACGGTGGACTCGAAGCGCTTCTTCTTCGACGTGGGCTGCAACAAGTACGGCGTGTTCCTGCGCGTGAGCGAGGTGAAGCCGTCCTACCGCAACGCCATCACCGTCCCCTTCAAGGCCTGGGGCAAGTTCGGCGGCGCCTTCTGCCGGTATGCGGATGAGATGAAGGAGATCCAGGAGCGCCAGAGGGATAAGCTTTACGAGCGACGCGGCGGGGGCGGCGGCGGCGGGGACGAGTCTGAGGGCGAGGAGGTGGACGAGGATTGAAAGGCGCAGCATCCCCTACGGGCCTCCAACCCCACTCCCGCCCCCCTCATCTGAAGAGCTCTCTTTCCTTCTCATCCCCAGTGAGCTAGTGGGGGAGCTAGGGAGGCCCCCGGGAAGAAAACAGCATTTAACATAATGTAGTCCATTAAGAGAAATAACCATAAGAGAACAGTCACGGACAATTAGGAAAAAAAAAAAAAAAGGCAGTAAAGTTCCAAGGAGCTGACAGCAACCTGCAAGAACAGCGTCTCCTCACCTGAGCAAACTAGGCCCAGCTTCTGTGGTTTCCCAGCCAAGGTCCCTAAACCCCTCAGGATGGCCCTGCTGGGGGATAGGTCCTTCCACATCCTGGGCCAAGGAACACTTCTGAGCTACCCAGACCTCGTGGTAACAGCTGTGAACTTGCGTTGTCCTGGGAACCTAGAGATCTCTCCAGACCTTCTATTGCAGTGTCTGTTCCTCCACCTCCATTGAAATCAGCATTTTGGATTTAGGTCTTCATGGAATTCTTGAGAAGAGAGAGACCTTTGCAGTTACCCAGTTCTGAGGGTACAGGCTTAATGAAAAGGAATGCAACTTTAATCATGGACAGAGCAAAATACAAATTCAAAAAGTCACCGGGAAATACAGAAACAAATTGGATCCATTTTGTTTAAGATGGTTTTGCACCACACCTGGACCAAGGCCAATGTCTTTGCAGAATTGTCTTCCAGGATGCAAATGGATTCAGCTGTCAAACCTTGAATTAGAATTGGTTGCTAAAATATTTTAAAAGTTGGCAAAAAAAATTTGAAGATGAAAGAGCAGTTTTACATCGGGGTTGCTGAGATATGCACAAGAAAAAATCCGGGCATAAAGCACAAGGAAAAAAAACTGAGTAGATTGGTTGCTGCTCACTGAAGTTCTTCCCCTGATCTCTCAAACATGGAGGTCATTACCAAGAAATGGCTTAGATGTATGAATGAGCCAGATCCCTGTGGCTCCACCATGTGAACCAGTGCATTAAGGCTAATTCAGCTGTTTCGGCCACTGGTTGTCGGGATTTTAAGCCACAAAACTTGAGAAAGGAACAGTGTGGCTACAAGCCTGAGCTTTAATGGAATATACATCTAACAGAAAAGTTGGAAATAACGAAAACTGAAGTCTTCCTCTACCTTCAGTTTAATCTGTGGATTTGTTCAAATACTAAAGATCCTCAGGTCCAGAATTCCAGCATCATTTATTCTTTTTAAATAAAAATTTTAAAACTTGATCCATTGTATCAGTACCTCACAATCAAAGTTGGCAAAAGATGGATGTGTGTCTTGCAAGCAGTGTGCCCTTTGGAAGCTGAAATCCATCGAACGGAGCCGAAGTGAGCGTGAATATGTGACTATATCCTGGAAGCATTTTTATACCATCTTGAAATTTCAACAAAACTGGCTTTTGCCAGTGTATCCAGCTGTCTTTCAAGAATAAAAGTTGGGGTTTTCAAGGATCACCTCTTCTATATTTTAAATGGATTTTCAGTAGAAGTGATTTTACTAATCAAGTTAATGTCACCCCGTTAAAGGTATTTGAATGTCATAGACCTAGGTAACTTTGAATCAAATGGGAGCGATGTTCTTTCCAAAGTTTTTCAGGTATGCTTTGTGCAACACCTCAACCAAGAGGCAAATAACCCCACTCCACAATCTTAGTGGTTGTTTTTTTTTTTTTAACTGCATGACTGCCCTTTATTTGAGCTGCCTTTTAATTTATTGCATACCCTTTTTATTATCTTATTTTGGTATTATTCAATATATACAATCTTTTTGTATTTATTAGGAAATAAGTAATATACAAAAAGGTCGTTTTCATGCATTGTGGCTGAGAGGGAGGGAAATAATTATGTATATAAAAATTAGGCTTTTTTAAAAATTAGACTGTGATTCAGAATATTACTAATCTTAGGTATAAAAAAAAAAGTGGAAGAGCCACAAACATTGGTGCCCTTTTCAGACAATTTCTCTACTCTCATCGTCCACAGTAGAGTTTTTAAACAGATTTTTTTAAAGCTTTTCTTTTTTTAAAAAATTTTCTCCGTTGCAAAGAATGTTTCCTAAATTGTATGGGAGCAATAGTATTTTCGATGTTTTAACGACATCTGTATACTTGTACTGTATTTTGTACTACAAGGCAGCTGTTTTCAATGATGTCCTGCTGTATTTACCTATGTGTTTTGAGTGTTTTATTTCTTTGCTGCGGAGAACAAATCCCTAAGTAGTTTTAGTAAAGGAGCTGAGAAACTAGCATTAGGTTTGCAGAAACTGTTTAGTTTCAAACTTAGAGGCAGCAATGAAAATTAAGGTTGCAGCTATTAGCTGACCGCTGTAACTTGTTTTGAAATCATGTACAATTCCTGTATAGACCAACTTGTTTTCTTGCTTCATTGGTGGTTCTGTTGCTCAGCTGCAGTGAGCCAGTTCAATTTTGCAAAGGTGCGGTACCTCTCCTTTTTAAGGGGTTGGTTTACTCTTTTTTTTTTTTTTTTTTTCCTGTTCTTTTGTTTGGCTGAATTGCAGTAAATAGCCTTGCTTTTCTATTCTGTAGAAATGACAGGGTCTTCACAGTCCTCACCAGTGGCTACTAAGCTATAATTAGCTGAATAGAAAGAATGTGGAAGTGGTCTGAGGCATATAGAATATATGCCAAGAACACTACCATATATGGGATCAGCTTTGGTTACCAGAGAAATTTTCTTAGTCATTAGACCATATAACAGTAATATATCATATGTAAATCTTTAGATAATCAATTTGAGAATCCTCCAAAAAAAAAAAGGAGCAAAGAATGCATAAGCTATGTGTTGGAAAAGTAATTTATATTAAAATTTTTGACCTGCCTATGTAAGATTAAGTGGTAAATGTCATAGTGGTGGGTTTTAAGTCTTAACCAATCTCAAAGGTTTGTTTCTCCTGCAGGTGGTTGATGGCCTCTCTTCCTACTGCAGGAAGGTTACAGAAGGATGTGGATTGATTGTAGCATTTCACTGATCCTCCTTCCAGTCACTAGGGACGATAGAAACTACACTTTTAATGTGTGGTTTGTTAAACAAGGCGGTGTTAATGGGCCATCTTTCAGAATTCAATCATATAGATATTGCTTATTAAAGGAAATAGTCTATATTAAATCCAAGCAGAAAATGTTTTGTTTTCAACCACTGCTATACTCAGTGATTTAGGGCTTGTTTTTGATTTTGGCAAACATTGCAGCCAAGGACATGTTCAAAATAGTCATATTGCAAAGAAATAGGGAAGTAAAATTTATTTCCTAATAATTGGTAGAATGTTCATTTCTCAAACTGCTGCAGTTACAGAAGTGAAAAGCCCACAATTTTAGGAACAGAACTGAAAGTGCAAGAAACTCTGAGTATATCCCATAAGTCCTTTCTGGTTTCTATTGTCTCTACCTGTCATTCATGTAGAACTACAGTTCTCATCAGCAAAGGAAGTTGTCAGTGCATGTGCTGCACAGAACAAAGTGTAAATCTGGATGGCACCAAAAATCAAAGCGAATACCAAACCAAAACCCAGACACCCTATGTTACCGTGGGAGGCATGTAGGTGGTACAATGACTGTGGCTGTGAGACAGACACGGCTGCTGGTCAGGTCACTTTCCATAATATTTACTGCAAAATGATGGTGAGGCCTCCAGTCCGGGCAGCCGTTAACCTGCTTCCTTTGTAACCTTTCCGTCATTTTGCAATAAATTGCAGGTCTTTTAAGAGATACAAGCTTCAGTTTTCTCAAAACAAAACAATTATCCTGTCTTATCTGAAAATGCAGGGTTGTGGGCAGAAGAGGCTGGTTATAGTAATGCCCTCATATTGAGTGGTCTGTAAACGGCTGCACACTTCAGGCACTCTAGTTGCTGAGGATGCTTTGTGAAATGTGACCTTGACTGGCTTTACAGGGGGGCATAGAATGATCTACACAAGGTGTTAAAAGGTGACAATTTGCTTGCGTCTACCTTGCCTTGAGGTGGATAAAATTAAGGAGACGCTTGAGTGTGTAAGCTATGCACATAAGTATTCTTCACTGTAAATTTTTTTTCATTTTAACCCAGTTATGGTACTTTGTCTAATGCACAACTGATCTCTCAGTAGATACCCATTTGAAAATAGTGTGGCCTTGATCGGTGAGAAGGGGAAGGAGAAAAGTGACTTTTGCTTATGTAAAAATGACTCATTTGCCAGGAGTCTTTCTGCAGTACTCTTAGTACCTAATGTGTTTGTGATTGGTCTCCTTTTTGATTGGGGAAATTTAATGGTTTTGATCTGGGAGTTATTCATTCATTTGAGTTGTCTTCTATTTTTAGGAAGTATCAGAATTGCTCTAATAAGTACAAAGTTGATTGCTTTGATGTCCAATCTCAGGTTTTAGAATATATATAGTGGTGTAAAATCCCACTGTTAACTCTTTAAAAACTATTTTAATTTAATACACCCTTAAAAGTCACATGCATAAGGCCTGTTCAGAGGGCAGAGCCTCCCATCTTTTTGCTCCTTTTCCATTTTGTACTTCACTTGAGAAAGTGTGGAGTGATTTTACATTGTATATTGCCATTTTAACCCTGACATATTTCTCAAGAAAAAGCACTTTTTGATCATGAAATACATGGACTCTTTGTGTGATGTGGGTCATGGTTTCTCAGGCTCCCCTAAGATAATCTGCTTATGAATATTATTCTCTGTATGAAGAGTAGAAATCTTTCCTAATGTTAGAAATTTGTATTATTGATCCAGAATGCATTTTGCTAGCTTCCAGTGGATAGGATAGTGAACAATGCTGCACTCACAGTTTATAAATTTTTTCCCCTTGAGCCTTACTTAAGGTAACATTTTTTTTTGTCAGCATCAGCACTGAAGTTATAGTAAATGGATGAGATTCAGTTTTCAGGCTTAGTTTTAGAGTATTGTAAAACAATTAGATGGCTTCATAAACAATTATTGTTCCCATTGAATAAACTGAATAATGAG